ATACATTTCTCATAGCGGTGTTCCAGTCTATTAATGCCATCTCTATAGACTGATTCGTCAAGCTCCTCAAAATAACCATTTACAGCTTCGATTACTTCTTCATTGTCCGCAAATCTCTTACCGCCAAGCCATTTTTTGAGATTAGGGAACAGAAAATAGTCACTCGGGGCTAGGTCTGGAGAGTAAGGAGGGTGCGGCATCAATTCAAACTTTAGATCGTTGATTTTAGCCGTCGCAACGATTGACGTGTGCGCTGGTGCGTTATCGTGATGAAACAAGATTTTTTTCTTCGCCAGATGAGGTCGTTTAATTTTCACCTCGTGGCTCAAACGTTGCAATAAGTCTGCGTAGTATTGACCAGTGATAGTATTACCCTTTGCAAGGTAATCAATGTATATAATACCTCTTGCATCCCAAAAAACAGTAGCCATAACCTTGTTCGCCGAAAAAATTGTTTTTGCCTTCTTTGGAGTTGGTTCCCCTGGTCCAATCCACTGTTTAGACTGTTCTTTGGTTTCAGGAGTGTAGTGGTGGACCCACGTTTCGTCAACGGTTACGAATCGACGCAAAAATTCGCTTGGATTACGCTTATACAATGACAAATTTGCGGTAGAAATGTTTTTTCGAATCAATTTTTGGTCGACTGTTAGCAAACGCGGCACCCATCTTGCACAGAGCTTTTCCATATGCAAATGTTGGTGCAAAATATGTTGCACACGTTCATATGACATCTTACAGGTCTCAGCTATCTCACGCACTTTCAATCTGCGGTCTCCCAGCACTATTTGATGAATTTTTTCGATCATATCTGGAGTTGTGACCTCAACGGGGCGTCCTGAGCGAGGCCCATCAGAGGTGCTCACACGACCCTTTTTAAACTCGGAAACCCACTGCTTAACGGTTGAATATGACGGGGAGGATGTCCCCAGTGTTGAGTCCATCTCTTTTTTAATTTCCTTCGGCGTTAACCCCTTCAAATAAAAGTATTTGATGACAGCACGATTTTCCTGCTTTTCCATTTTTACGAAAACCACAGAGGCGTCTTGTTCAGCGTGCTGTCAAACCTACACTAGCAAGGAGATCGGGCTGAAACTATAGCTACAAGCTATCCAAGGATGGTACTATAGAATGTCACCTCAAGGTAGGCCTAGTGGCGTCATCTCTTGGTTAGGCCGGAAACTTATCAATCCACCCTCGTATGTAATTGCTGTACAGTGATCATGTCGTGAAGAAGAGTGTACTTGTATTTATTTTGACCCATTATGACTTTGCTACGGTCATTTTGCGTACAATTCCTTTAAAAAATCATTTTTTATGAGCGACTCAACAACATTAGAATTAAATAAGATAACGATGAGAAAATATGCTGTATTTTTACCTAAAATAATCACAGACTCTTTCTCTAACTGACACGGTTTTGCGTGATGCAAATACAAATAAAATCTTCAAGGAATAGTATTTCCTTAATACTGTAACCGTATCCAGTCGAATAATATAAATCAGTAGGGGGAAAAAAGGCAAAGATGTAAAGAAAGTGATGCTATCTAGATTTAACGCTTTTGAATGATTTCTTTGCCACGGAAGGCTGAGAGAGAAATATTCAACAGGTTGTCGGTAATAAAGGTGGTGTCTCTGGGCGAATCAAAGTTTTAGTGGGGCCTTTTTGTTTCCTTCTTCATAAAAAAAGTGAAACGTCTACAAGCGGAAACCTTTTTATATTCAAATGAAATAACCAAAACATTTCCTGCTAACGAAAATCGATCCTAAATGTTAATCTTCTGTGATGTATAGATAGATATACCCTTTTCTATTTAATTCTTTAACCAATGAGTTACAATAAAATACTGTAGACTTTCACGACCGGCGTATTGTAGAGGTACCATATAATAATGATTTTCATTAGGGCTTGCAGACCGTGTCCAAGGTGATTTATATGGTATCTTGCGTAATGAATTGTCATTTTGTACCTTATATTTTACATTCTTGAAAGCAAAAATTCGTTCTTGTTGCCTTTTCCTACTGTAATCTTATTTAATTAGGCAGTACGCTAATGTAACACAGGGTACAAAACGAGGGTAAAATTAGCCAAAAAAGGCCAATATTTAATTAAAGTAGGAAAGGAGAAGGTACAAAAAGAGACTAGATGTCTAAAGGTTGATTAGCAAACAACCAGTCTTTTGACTTCTAAAGAGAGTTTGGAGTAATATCGACGGTTTTTTTGAAAATTATACTGATATGAAGGATCAAGAACAAGTCTGTTTTTATACTAGCAAGAACAACAGACCAAGACTTAAGCTAAGACCGAATATACAAGTCTAAGACGAAATACGCGAGATTAAACGAAAAATTATTACTTCCGGTGGATTTATGAAAGGAGTAGTAGGGATATAAAGCAGAGGATAGCGCAGGGTCGTGTCGCCTTTAATAAAAAGAAGTCACTTCTATGCTCGCGAACGGTTAATTTAGAAATTCGAAAAAGGTTGTTAGAGGTGTATGTTTGGAGCGCGGCGCTGTACGGATGCGAAACATGAACAGTGGGCGCACCGGAAAAGAAAAGGTTAGAAGCCTTCGAAATGTGGTGTTATAGGCGAATGATGAGGATACCATGAATAGAGAAGGTTAGAAATGAAGAGGTATTAGAAAGAATAGGAGAACAGAAGACTCTATGGAAGTCAATAAAAAATAGGCGAGATAGGTTGGTAGGACACCTTCTCAGACATGTCAGAGACATTAAAGGCAGAAACGGGAGTTAGGAGGGATAGAGGTAGACCTAGGTTAGATTACCGTTCGCAAATAATTAAGGATGTGGGTTGTTCTAGTTTTAGGGAAATTCGAAGTTTAGCTCATGATAGGAAAGAGTGGAGGTACGTGTCCAACCAGTCTTAGGACTTGACGACCCTATGATGATGATGATGATAGATTTATGACTTAAACTATTTGAGGCGACTTTAATGTATTTTTTTCTTGGAACAAAACATTTTTGGCATTTGAAATTTTCAGTTTGCTTTACTAGATTTTACCACTGAGAAATTTACCACTGTTGGAAAAAAGGGATCTACAAGAGTGTCCTCGTAGTAGGTGTTCATTGTTCTTACGTTTGGATAACACGTGGCTGAAATATAGAGACAAACTAATTTTTTTATATGTTTTTTACTTTCAAGTACCTTGTACTATTTTATTTGCTAAAAGGTTAATTTATGCGTTGAAGGAATGGTAAGAATTTTCATAACTCACAACTATCGACACTATTTTCTTTAAGTCATGACAAGTTTGCATGTACGACAGACAACTTCAGCATTTAAAACAATTATTTTGTCAGTAAATAGAAAAATTTGTGCTTAAAATTATTAAAAAAGACGTAAGTACTTATTATATAGAATGAGCAAGACCAACACTTAACACGTAAAACCAAGACAAAGACTGAGACTACATCAGCAAGACCAAGAGTAGAAGTATTTGAGCAAGAGCAAGACCAAGACAACGACCGTAAGCAAAACTAAGAACAAGGACTAAAAAATATTAAAAGCAGAATACCTGTACGCAATTCTTTTGTAACAGATTTTTCAATTTTATAAAAAGTGTGACGAATACTTACTGAAACGCAAAGGGCAAAATTAATAATTGCAACAAGAAGGAACTCACTTCGAAGTAGTGTAAAATAAATTCCAGGATTGCCAAATATTCGTTTAACACTGTCCCGAATTTATCCTATAAGATTGCCGAATTATTTAAATCCTTAACATATTAGTCAAAAAGTCGGTTATAAATAACAACAGTTTTAAGTAAGTGAAGTTATTTTACTTGAGTTAATCGGGAAGACGATTCCATATGTCTTCTTCCTAAACGGTAAATATTACTTGAAAAACAACGGAGTAAAGTTTAAAAAGTTGTATAACGAAAAGGAAAATCAAACTATATGTAGCTATCTACATTTCGCACAAAGTTTTTTCAGTATAAACTAATTAATAAGATGGTAGACCTACTTTAACAGATTTTTAAATTAGTTAAAAGACGAGGCTTTCTTTACCGATCGTTTCCAATCGTTGCTAAATTGACTGAGAAAATTTGAGAAAGTATTTCACTCAAAGCGAGATTTGAAGTACAAAGTTTACCATTGAGTAATTTTTTAGCCTTAAATATGTTTAGTATTTACATATGTTAAAACCATTCTTAGTTCATTCTTGTTGTGGCTAGACGAATTTTGGTTAAAACTAGTCTATTTACGACATTGTTCAGTAAATTATAAATTTAACAGAGATTGTAGTTGGTATTGATATAGACCAGCAGGTCGTGGCTTGTGAATTTGGATAGGTCGACTTCAGTCTTTTTTTTTTAATTGTTTATTTATTTTTGTTTTTTTGTCAAAGAAATGTTTGTCAATATGTGTATATGTTACCGGAAATGTATGAAATCGAGAAATTGTATAGAATTCCGAGGCTATTTAGGAAATCTATAAAATATTGTTTCAAAGATTTTTTTAATACACACATATCCTATAAAATGTATACATTGTACTACGAAATATATAAAACTACGCTTTCTGAATAAAATATAACCTATATAATAACCTAACCTAACTTCTTCTCGCTCTGCTATACTCGCGTACCCATTGACATTTTGAATGTAATACATTTCCGATTGCTACTTAGGAAATGTATAGATTTCCTAGGAAATGTGTCTAATATAATTTATTTCACACATTTCCGGGCGATTTTAGGAATTATATAAATTTCCTAGGAACTGTATACAATGACGGATTACACACATTTCCATTAACATATACAACTACTGAAAAAGGCAAATTTAGTATTAATTTATTTAAACATAATTTTTATTCAATAAGTTTTGCTACCTGTTTCAAATTCCATTTTGATTTTAAAGTTGTAATGTAATAGACGCTGGGAGTAAGTTACTGATGACATTTATTCTACTAATTATGAGCAACATAATTAACCCTTTATTTTCGTAAATTTTATCTAAATGCATGTTTCCTAACATAGGACCAGTCCAAATGAGAATCCGGAATGGCAGAAGGCAGTGGCGCAGATGAGGACAACAGCGATATACTCAGGCATGCCACAACTCTTGTCCATCAGCCCTCCAGTGTTACCGCAGATTCTAATCAAAACATGAAGTCCGAGGTAAGATGCTGTATTAGTCTATTAAGATATTACAGGAAGATTGAAAATTACTCGTAAAGGACACGGATGTTCAATTTTTTTTGCTTTTATGGGAAAAACCGAAGAATAAATTAGAAACTGGCTGTAAAAACTCGACTAACCGGACTGCTGTTGTAGGCCATTCGGTTTTTATCAAAAACCTGGACAATATATTGCATTAGGAAAAAAATTACGCATCTGCTTCAAAAAAAAAAAAAAAAAAATGAAAACAAGATCACTGTATAAATAGTAAGTGATGTGAGAACGGTTGGCAATCTGGATAATAGCAAATCCTAGTCTCAATTTTAGGCTGCCGTCTTAGATTTATTGTAATTGTTCGATGTTTCGCTTCTTCAGAATTTTAATTTAATCTAGGTATATATCTGCCACCCTTAATTCCTGTTTGTGCATCTAATATGCCTCTAATTAGCCCTTTATGTTCTACCAACCTATCTTGCTTATTATTTATTTATTGATCTCCGTAGCGCCCCCTGTTGTTCAATTCCTTTATATACCGCGTTATTTTTAAGTTTTTTATCTACGGTGTTTTCAACATCCCCCTATAACACCATATCACAAACGTTTCTAACCTTTTCTTTTTCAAATTTACAAATTTACCGATCGCGAACACAAGTGATTTGATTTTGTTAAAAGCGCTGCGCTATTTCTCATTTTGTCTCCTGAGTTATCTGACTCCCTAAATATTCTACTTTTATACCCTTTACTTTATTTTTAATAATGTTCATACTTTAATACCCTTGTGTTAATACCGCTTCCAATTTATTTAAAGCTATCTCAAACTGGTCCTTGCTAGATGCTAATAATTATGTTATATCAATCGCATATCTGTGAGTATGTTACCGGAAATTAATGAAATCTAGAAATTGTATACAATTCCCAGAAAATGTATACAATTCCGAGGCTATTTAGGAAATCTAGGAAATATTATTTCAAAGATATCCTGAGAAATGTATACATTTCCTGGGAATGGTATGAAATTCCGATATTGTACTAGGAAATGTATAAAACTAATGCTTTCTGTGAATAAAATGAATAAAACACGTTAGTAAACTGAGAATTAGAATTATCTATGAATACAATAAATGAAACACGTGAAACACATGAATCAGAATTTTTATTAATTCCTCTAACCCCTCGCTCTGCTATCCTCGCGCACCCATCGACATCTTGAACGTAATACATTTTCGATTGCTATTTAGGAAATGTATAAATTTCCTAGGAAATGTGTCTAATATAATTTATTTCACACATTTCCTAGAAATTGTAGACAATGACGAATTACACACATTTCCGTTAACATACGAGGGTGGATTGATAAGTTTCCGGCCTAACCAAGAGATGACGCCACTAGGCCTAGCTTGAGGTGACATTCTATAGTACCATCCTTGGATAGCTTGTAGCTATAGTTTCAGCCCGATCTCCTTGCTAGTGTAGGTTTGACAGCACGCTGAACAAGACGCCTCTGTGGTTTTCGTAAAAATGGAAAAGCAGGAAAATCGTGCTGTCATCAAATACTTTTATTTGAAGGGGTTAACGCCGAAGGAAATTAAAAAAGAGATGGACTCAACACTGGGGACATCCTCCCCGTCATATTCAACCGTTAAGCAGTGGGTTTCCGAGTTTAAAAAGGGTCGTGTGAGCACCTCTGATGGGCCTCGCTCAGGACGCCCCGTTGAGGTCACAACTCCAGATATGATCGAAAAAATTCATCAAATAGTGCTGGGAGACCGCAGATTGAAAGTGCGTGAGATAGCTGAGACCTGTAAGATGTCATATGAACGTGTGCAACATATTTTGCACCAACATTTGCATATGGAAAAGCTCTGTGCAAGATGGGTGCCGCGTTTGCTAACAGTCGACCAAAAATTGATTCGAAAAAACATTTCTACCGCAAATTTGTCATTGTATAAGCGTAATCCAAGCGAATTTTTGCGTCGATTCGTAACCGTTGACGAAACGTGGGTCCACCACTACACTCCTGAAACCAAAGAACAGTCTAAACAGTGGATTGGACCAGGGGAACCAACTCCAAAGAAGGCAAAAACAATTTTTTCGGCGAACAAGGTTATGGCTACTGTTTTTTGGGATGCAAGAGGTATTATATACATTGATTACCTTGCAAAGGGTAATACTATCACTGGTCAATACTACGCAGACTTATTGCAACGTTTGAGCCACGAGGTGAAAATTAAACGACCTCATCTGGCGAAGAAAAAAATCTTGTTTCATCACGATAACGCACCAGCGCACACGTCAATCGTTGCGACGGCTAAAATCAACGATCTAAAGTTTGAATTGATGCCGCACCCTCCTTACTCTCCAGACCTAGCCCCGAGTGACTATTTTCTGTTCCCTAATCTCAAAAAATGGCTTGGCGGTAAGAGATTTGCGGACAATGAAGAAGTAATCGAAGCTGTAAATGGTTATTTTGAGGAGCTTGACGAATCAGTCTATAGAGATGGCATTAATAGACTGGAACACCGCTATGAGAAATGTATCAGCCTTGGAGGAGATTATGTTGAGAAATAAAAAAAAAAAATTTTTAAAAACCTTGTTTTTCTTGGTCAGGCCGGAAACTTATCAATCCACCCTCGTATACAAAATTAGTTATCACTAGGGAGTAGTCGTCGTTCGCACATAAAAGGTCAGTGATTAGGCTGACAATCAAAATTTTATTTTATTTTTTGTAGATTCACGAAAAGAAGTTGAAATCGCACATACTTATGTTAAATAAAATTATTTATTATTTTAAATTTTTTATTTTACCATTTTTCCTTACCTCCAGTATCCACTATCCTCATCAGGAAACGTAACGAGGGCGTAATTTGGCTGCTATTTACTGAGACTGGAGAGAAAGGGTTTACGCCCTCGCTACGTGTCCTGAGGATGAAACCCGTAGTTGTTGACGAAACGTGGAATACACATTTCCATCGGTGCTCTACCGATATCGAGCACTATTCAGGTAATGTATACCTCATTTCGATTCTGTATTTAATAATTCAGTTCGTCAGAAAAGTAGTGAAGAAAGTTTGAGAAAATGCTTCTCCTTTTGTCTTTATTTATACAAAACAATATTGAATAAACATTTCTGCATATTTGTTATTTTTTAATATTTATCTTTCTTATTAGTGAAAATTATATAGGCTAGGCAAAATACAGAACATAGAAATTTTGGTAGGTACTATATATATATTTCTTTGCTCGCATATGTCCTTTTAATGCCGTAAGGCCTTTGGTGAAGATGTGGAATATATTTTTTCAACTATCTAAAAGTACCTATCTCTTGTTTTTATGAAAACTGTCGAAAATTAGCCGAACGTAAAATGCGACACATAACTAGAAAAGCTAAGGGATGGGGATATAAGAAAGATATTATGAAGGAAAGGGATTTTAAAAATTGGAGCAAAAAATAAGTACTATGACAAAGAATGGGATGAAGTTTTAGACGATTTAAAGTTGAATCAGAAACAATTAAATGAATGGGGCGCAAGGGGGGTATGTATCGTAAAAATAGAGAGGATAAGACGTAATGAGAACTTAAGGGGAGAAGATCCAAGAAGTATTGATAAGTCGACATATTTGGAATGCATGAAGGCTTGCAAGGGAGACTGTATACCACACTATTTGAATGGAATGAAGAATGTGGACGTAATAGCAAGCTTTAGAGTAGGAAATGACAGTAAAAAAATAGTTATTGGATGAAGGAAGAACAAAGCGTATGTGAAAAGATAGATAGAGACGATGAATAATGATGCATGTACTGGGTGGATGTGGGGAAAGTGAAGTGATGTTTGAATGATTGTAAGGAAATATTAAGAGAGAGAGGCGATGGGCGAATCCTATTCAAAAGTATCATTAAAAAAACGAAAGGATTTGGTTTAAGCGATGAAAGGGGTATGATTACGATTGCCTATTGGGAGGAGTGTAATTTTTTTTATTTTAATATTTTTTTTGCTAGTACTATAGGTACGTCGATAACAAGATTTAGAAATGTAGAAAATAACTTTAGGTTTCAATAAAACGTATTAATTATTTAATCTAAGTCGAAATCCTCTGAAAAGGGCATTACAACCTTCAAAAGCTTTGAATTGGACTTCTATCACTTTTTTATTTATTTCAAAAGGTGGTTGAAGCTGGCCGTACCAATTCTCCTATACAAAAAAATGAGCTCTATGTTTGACCTTTGACTTAGTAAAATTAAAATTTTAAATCTTTTTCGAATTTCTAAAATTACCGTTCGCGAACATAGAAGTGACTTCTTTTTATTGAAGGTGGTTCGATCCTGCGCTATCCTCTGCTCTATAACCCCAATGCTACTCTTTCCGTCCTGACTTATTATTTTTCTAAATCTACGAATCCTATGAATGCACTCTTTCCTTTTTCTCTATTGTTACCCGTAAAGCTAGAATGATCTCCCGCGTTCCTCTATTTCTACTAAACCCAAATTGATCTTTCCCTAATGGTTCTTTTGCCTATTGGGTGGTCATCATCATAAGATCGTCAGTCCTAAGACTGGTTGGACACGTACCTCCACTCTTTCCTATCCTGACCTAATCGTCGCATTTCCCTAAAACTAGAACAGCCCACATCCTTAACTATTTGAGAAAAGTAATCTAACCTAGGTCTGCTTCTACCCCTCCTAACTCCTGTTTCTGCCTCTAATATGTCTCTGGGTGGTATAAACAATTAATTTATGTATCATACAATATTTGCAGTACCCATCTTGAGAATTAAATTTGTAGTTTTTGTTACCTATATTTATTACTAGTGGAATCAAGTTTATGATTGACCTGTAATAAGAGTTGGACGTGTGTAAACTTTTGTTTTTCGCAGCTGATATGAAAAGAAAAGTTTTAATAAATTGTCTGCGTACTTTTTCGTAGTAAATATTGCTGTGAGCATTATTAAAATTATGTAAACTAAAGTTTGTTAGCTTTGTATCTAAATACTTTTTACTCTTA